TGTGGACACCGCAAACGTCTGACAAGTAAGGAATATCAAGCCAGTGCACGCGCGTAGTCAGGTGACAGGGGGTAAAAGGGTTGCAAGAGTCAAAAATTGGACCTCGGGAGCTTTGTCTTTCACCCCAGAGCCGCAAAAGTCGGGGAAGAACTGGGACTAGAGAGATAAGGAGATAGGTGCCCCCCGCTGTTAGAAGGGTCACGGGATCTTGGCATCTACATTATATGTTCAAGTATACAATTGATATAACAGTCTGTGAACTAGTACATATTCAATTTCATAGAGATACATCTATGGATTATTGATAAATTATAATATCCACCTTGGTAATCCCCTGGCAAACACCAAATACGGTGACCACGTGATTCGTATCTGACTGTAATCGGAATCCTGCCCTTGAGTCACGTGCCGTATATACCAATACCGATACCATACTGGGGCGGCTACGACGCTACAACGTTCAGGGTTGCACTGAGCTCTTTACTTCTCCAGCTTTTGCCGACATCACCGGATGCAACTCCTACACTTCTCAAATGGAACCTTCAGACCACCATGTGTATAGTGGAGCTTCATACTCCAATAAGAATACCTATTTCCCTTTTTTTTCCGGCGTCATCGCACTCTTGGCCTGATTGTTGGGCCACATGGAATACATCCGAGTGGACCTTGATAGAATCTTTGGAATCGGCCGAATGAGGTCAATGGCTATTTGGTTATCTTAGTGGATTCTTTCTTGTCAGGATACGGTTACCCGCAGACGTTGACTTGTCAGTCCCAAAGAAGACACTATCTGTGGCGATGATACATTTGCAGAATATAGCACGTGGCTCACTCTATACGACGTTCTTTTTTGTCACTCCACCAAGAGACTGTAACCCATGGTCCCTTTTCTCTTGTTCTCTCTTATTTCCTTTAGATACCAACTTTCTCCCTTCCTTTCTTCTTCATCCATACTTCTTACTTCGATTCGAACCCTGACGTAATTATGTGCGTGATATCTAAATCTTCGATATCTTCTATATACTGCGTTCCTATGTACTAACCGGCTACTCATAGGCGTGTCATTATCAGAGAAGATCCCAGTGAGGTGTCTGTGTACATCGCGGACTACATTATCAGTAAGCTGAAGCCCGATCCTGCGCCGATACGCGCAATCCATGCCAAGACTAACTATTCTATCTTAGGCCGCATCAAGTCATTCAATCCGACTCCCGAGCGTCCATTCGTGCTTGGTGTTCCCACTGGTAGCAGCCCTGAGCTCATCTACAAGATCCTCGTGCAGCGTCATCGCGCCGGGGAGATCTCCTTTAAGAATGTCGTGACTTTCAACATGGTATGCGCAACAACAATCACGGAGAAAACAACCCACTAATCCCAAGACAGGATGAATATGTCGGTCTGCCTCGCGATCACCCCGAGTCCTACCACAGCTTCATGTACAAGCATTTCTTTTCCCATGTGGACATCCCCCCGCAGAACATTAACATTCTGGATGGCACCGCTACCGATCCTGTAGCCGAGTGTGCATCGTTCGAAGCACGTATCGCCCGCTACGGTGGTATCGAGCTCTTCCTAGGCGGCGTCGGACCAGACGGCCACATTGCCTTCAACGAGCCAGGTTCCTCGCTGAGCAGCCGCACTCGCGTTAAGACACTGGCCTACGACACCATCCTGGCAAACTCCCGCTTCTTCGGCGGCGACACTGACAAGGTGCCCCGCATGGCTATGACTGTTGGTATCCAGACCATCATGGATTCCCGGGAAGTGGTGATTGTAGCCACCGGAGCGCACAAGGCCTTCGCCGTGCAGAAGGGCCTCGAAGATGGCATCAATCACATGTGGACACTCTCCGCCCTACAGCTACACCAGCACCCGCTTGTCGTCTGCGACCGCGATGCCACTCTCGAACTCAAGGTTAAGACCGTGCGTTACTTCGAATCCATCGAACAGGCCGGCACCGATGCCCGCACGCAGGGACCCGCTCTCGTTTACCGTCCTCGGACTTACGTCCCGGCTCCACTCCCACCCAAGACCCCGAAGTCCCAGCAGCCTACCCCCGATGGAACCCCCGAGAAAACCCTCAAGGACCTCCGCATCAACACTGAGTTGCACCGCCGCTCACTGGATGAAGAGGAGCTCACCCCGGATAGCATGTCCTCCCGCCTGGTCGACTCGGCCATTGGCGGTATTGACGGTGCGCTGAAGAGCGACCTTATCTTTGACCGCATGGGCACCAGAATTACTACCCTCTAATGATGAACACTTCTCAAACTTGTGGCATTTTCATTCCGGGGTTTTTCTTTTTGATTCAATTTTTAATGCGCGGGAATATGGGTTCTTTCTTTGCAAATCATATCTGCATGGTCTCTTTTACTACTTTGGCTTCCAGGATCCATGCATGGGTGTTATCTCAGGAGTTTCGCTGGTGATTTCGGTTATTCCCGACCTGATAGATGCGTTTACTAGGAGTCAAGCGATATTATCAAAAATTTTAGCTACAGATAATTCAAGTTGTGTACAAATTTATATGTACTTGCGTAGCGTCGTGTTTGTTGTTCCAGTGAATGTATGTGTTAGGGTACCGGGGTGCCCTGTCGGTATCTTCCCAGCCTTCGAGTACAGAAATGTACAAACGTCTGAATAACAGAATGAAAATATAGAAAAAGCTAGAACATTGCAATTGTGGCGCTCAAATAGGTCCAAACTCTGTACATTCTATGGTCATTGCTTTTGGGTCGTACATTGCATATATTAACATTAAAGCTTGGCGAAGACACTGACCACGGCACCGCTCATATCGACTAGAGTGCTCTTGTTCTGCAGCCAAGCCTCAATACCGCGACGACCATTCTCCACGCCCAGACCGCTCTTCTTCCAGCCGCCGACGGCCATTTCAGCAGGGCTCTCGCCCCACGAGTTCACCCAGGTAATACCAGCCTGCAGTTGGTCAATGATGCGGTGAGCCTGGTTCAAGTCCCTGGTGAAGACACCAGCAGCGAGACCGAGCTCAGTATCATTGGCGCGTCGCACAGCCTCCTCAACGGTATCATAGTACAGGATGGACATAACGGGACCGAAGATCTCCTCCTTAACGATACTCATCGAGTCAGTGCAGTCGGTAAAGATGGTCGGCTTGACCCAGTAACCGGCCTGCAGATCCTTGGGTACCGAGGGCTTATCGGTACCACCGCAGAGCAGGGTGGCGCGGTCAGATTCTATACCGTGGCGAATGTATGCGACGACCTTGTCGTAGTGGGCCTTGGAGCTCAGGGGGCCGAAGTTGGTCTGCTCGTCAAAGAGCGGGCCAGCCCGCACGTATTGGATCTTCTCGAGCAGGCTCTTCTCGAAAGCAGCCTTCATGGTGCGCGGAACGAAGACCCGGGTACCATTAGTGCAGACCTGACCTGTGCTGTAGAAGTTGGCCATCATCGCGCCATTGACTGCGCTCTCCAGCTCAGCGTCTGGGCAGACGATCAAGGGGCTCTTGCCGCCCAGCTCCATTGTCACATATTTCATATTGCCCGAGGCGGCGCCTGCGACCTTCATACCAGTTGCCACTTGGCCGGTGAAGGAGACCTTGGCGATGAGTGGGTGGCCGGTTAGGTAGGCACCGACATCACCGGCACCATTGACCACGTTGAAGACACCGTCGGGGAGGCCGGCCTCGGTATATATTTCTGCGAGGGTCTGACCGTGCAGCGGTGTGTATTCGCTGGGTTTATAGACCATTGTGTTACCGGCGGCTAGACAGGCGGCGGATTTCCAGAGGGCACTAAAAAAAATTCCAAGTCAGCTTCTTTTTCTGTCGCAAACGCAGGATCGAAGAACTTACATCTGGATGGGGTAGTTCCAAGCACCAATGCCGGCACACACACCCAGAGGGGACTTTTTAGTGTATACCCACGCATCCTCGCGGAGTTGAGTAGTCTCACCGTTGAGACCACCGCCACCAATGAAGTTGGCATAGTACTCCAAAACATCGGCGCCAGTGGTGACGTCGACGGTGCTAGTCTCAGTAAAGGCCTTGCCGGAGTCCAAAGTCTCGACGCGGGCAATTTCATCGTTCCGCTCCCGTAGCAGAGCAGCCGCTTTGTGAAGAATTCGGGCACGGGCAATCAGCGGGGTCTGCGCCCACGAGGGGAATGCACGATCGGCAGCAGTAATCGCGGCATCGACATCCGAGTTGGAGGCAATTTGTATATCGGCCAACGGAGTTGCCGTGGCGGGATTGATAGTCTGGAATGACTTGCCGGAGGTCGCGGCTTGGACCTTACCGTTGTAATAGAGCTGACGAGGTGGGAATGGAAGAGACATTTTGTTGTGAATTATAGAAAGATAAGAGAAGCGGGAAGAATAGAATAATTCCGCCTTATAGTTTCTCCGAAAAAAAAAAAAGAATTGGGGTTTAGCGTAATACTTAATTTGACTAGATGTACTCGGTACTCGGCCACCACGCAGATTAATACGTAATGGCCAAGTACTAAATACGCCATCCGGTCAGCGGCTGAAGGTGGCTTGAAAATGGCTGAACCTCTACGCGGGGTCTCGGATTTCCACTTGTTATGGTTTGACGGGGAATTGAACTCCAAAAAAGGAATTCCTTCGCCCAACTGTCTTACTCGGAAAGGAATTCCTATCCCGTATCTCTTTCTCCAAATCTCCAATATTCCTTTGAACATATTATGCCGATAATGTGCTCACACTCGGCCGTTGACCTCGGGCCCTGTAGCCTGGAGTGGACCATATATTATCTAAGAGATCTCTGACAGGGCTCTCTCCACTTTTGGGATCGCCACCACTCAGAAGCCAAAGGTTCGCCGAGACTAACGGAAAAAAGAAAAAAAAAAAAAAGAATGAAAGTAAGGTAATGGCTGAAGATTGGATCGAACGTCTCCGATCAGACCACCCCCGAAACTGAAAATTCTCTTTAGAAAAAGGCCGTCCCTTCTTCTCCAATCTTCTCCTCACTCAATTTTGCCTATTCCTCCCCGGTATTCAACATGGCCACCACTAACGAGTTCCCCGCTGTTGATGTTAACAGCTACGACTACATCGTCGTTGGCGGCGGTACTGCCGGCTGTGTGATTGCCGCACGCTTGGCCGAGTACCTCCCTAACAAGCGGACTCTGGTGATCGAGGGAGGTCCCAGTGATTTCATGGACGACCGTGTTCTGAACCTGAAGGAATGGCTGAACCTGCTCGGAGGTGAGCTTGACTACGACTACGGTACCACTGAGCAGCCTATGGGTAAGGCACTATTCCCCCGAAATTTCAGTGAAATGAGCTTGCGCTGACTATTTCCGCAGGTAACAGTCATATCCGCCACTCCCGCGCAAAGGTTCTAGGTGGTTGCTCTAGCCACAACACTCTAATCTCTTTCCGTCCATTCGAGTATGATTGCCGCCAATGGGTTGCCAAGGGTTGCAAGGGCTGGGACTTTGAGACCTTCACCCGCATCATTGATAACCTGCGCAACACTATCCAGCCTGTGCATGCTCGCCACCGTAACCAGCTGTGCAAGGATTGGATCCAGGCCTGCTCTACTGCCATGAATATCCCTGTCATTGAGAACTTCAACGACAATATCCGCAACACCGGTGAGCTGACTGAGGGTGTCGGCTTCTTCAACATTGCCTACAACCCCGATGACGGTCGCCGTAGCAGTGCCAGTGTTGCCTATATCCACCCAATTCTCCGTGGTGATGAGAAGCGTCCCAACTTGACTATTCTCACCAACGCTTGGGTTAACAAGATTAACATTGAGGGTGATACCGTGACCGGTGTTGATGTTACTCTCCAGTCTGGTGTCAAGCACACTCTGCGTGCCAAGAAGGAGACCGTCCTGTGTGCCGGAGCTGTCGACACCCCTCGTCTGATGATGCTTTCCGGTCTTGGTCCCCGTGAGCAGCTGTCCGCACTCGGCATTCCCGTGGTGAAGGATCTCCCCGGTGTTGGTGAAAACCTGCTGGACCACCCCGAGAGCATTATCATGTGGGAGCTCAACAGCCCCGTGGATCATAACATGACCACTATGGACTCTGACGCCGGTATTTTCCTGCGCCGCGAGCTGCCTAACGCCGCCGGATTCGACGGCAAGATCGCCGATGTGATGATGCACTGCTACCAGATTCCGTTCACTCTCAACACCAAGCGTCTCGGCTACGACGAGCCCTTGAACGCCTTCTGTATGACCCCCAACATTCCCCGGCCCCGCTCCCGCGGTCGTCTCTTCTTGACCTCCGCCGACCCCTCCGTGAAGCCTTCGCTGGACTTCCGCTACTTCACCGACCCTGAGGGCTACGACGCCGCCACCATCGTGGCGGGTCTCAAGGCCGCTCGTGAGATTGCCAAGCAGTCTCCCTTCAAGGAGTGGATCAAGCGTGAAGTTGCCCCCGGTCCCAAGGTGCAGACCGACGAGGAGCTGTCTGAGTACGGACGTCGTGTTGCCCACACCGTGTACCACCCTGCTGGTACTACTAAGATGGGTAACGTTGTCACCGACCCTATGGCGGTTGTCGACCCCACGCTGAAGGTCCGCGGTCTGAAGGGCATCCGCATCGCCGATGCCGGTGTCTTCCCTGACATGCCTACCATTAACCCCATGCTGACGGTCCTGACTATTGGTGAGCGTGCCGCCGAGCTGATTGCCGGTGAGGCTGGTTGGTCTCGCAACCAGCCCCGCCTGTAAAGCAGGGGCTTCTTACGCGTCAAAGATCTGATATGCCTGTAAAAGTTGTTTCTTCATTTTGGTCCTATTTTGGTTTTACTTATAGCATATGAGCGAGCGGCGCATAGCTCCATTGGAGAGCTCCATTGGAGTCGGGCGCGTGGATCGCCTCTGAATGCGGGCATCTTTCGAGTCTCTCCCCAGCGTCTGCGAGACAGACCTGGATATATTATTTATCTGACATATATACAATCATGTATAAACTTGATATTTGAGAATAGGTTTCTCTTGAAATTCGAAAGAATCTAAACAAATATTCGAACTGAAGATGGTGCTGGCGCTATGACCATGCGCTTGCATATGCTCAATGCAAAAACCACAACCGCAAAAAAACGCCTGTAACCAACCGACCGAGATGAAAGAGCTATTGAACATATGCTGAGTGACAGAAACCAAAGAACCCCCGAAAAGAAACAGATCGCATCCAAGATCGAAAACACCTTATACGGCAGTCTTGTTAGTATCGTGGATCTTTGCACCCAGTTTCCACACCTGATCAACCGTCAAGGTCGGCCCAGAGAAGGGATCCTCATTCTCACCCAGCACGATGAGGTCGGCATCAGCACCGCTCTGTAACGATCCCTTGATACCCTCCAAGCCAAGCAGACGCGCCGGCGCAGCAGTGACAGCATTGATAGCCGCAGCCGTCGACGCGCCCGACCAACGACGGAAATTGTTAACGCACTCGATCAGTGTAGCTGAAGACCCAGCAATCTTATCAGAACCCTCAAGTGTCAACCGCGCACCGGTCTTAACAATACGCTCCCCATTCGTCCAATCATAGACACCGTCCGGAAGACCACACAGACGCATAGCATCGGTAACCAAGATCAACCCATCTGGGTGAGCATTGTATGCGATCTTGATGGAAGTGGGATGCAAGTGGATACCGTCGGCGATAACACCGTAAAACGGCCTGCGGCGCTCACTTTGTCCCAGCAGACCGAAGATACCCGGGTTGCGGTGGTAGAAGGGACGCATAGCGTTGAACAGGTGGGTGATCATGCGGGCTCCCTGGTGGGTGGCTTTGACAGCCTGCTCGTAGGTTGCATCGGAGTGGCCAATTGAGTAGATGATGTTGCCCTTGGCAATTTCGGGGATGTGGGCCATCATGTTGCCGACTTCGGGGGCGGCTGTGATCATCTTAATCGGGCTATCTTTACCCATATTCTCAGCGCCATAGCAGTGGATGAGGTCGTCGAAGGTTTCGGCGGCACGCAACACTTCGGGCTTGTGGATGCCGTTGCGTCCAGGACTGATGAAGGGGCCTTCGGCGTGTGCGCCTAGTGATTCGGCGCCGTCTTGGGGCGTGTGGGTTCCTGCTGTTGGGCCGAGGGAGGGTAGGACCTGAGAGAAGAAAGATTAGTTTTTTTTTTTTCTTTGGGGGAAGTTTGAGTGCTCTAAAGCACTTTGTGCTTTGCTTACCTTCCAGTACACCTCGGGGGTGGAGCTCACGAGCGTCGGCAAGTAGGAAGTGACACCGGTTCGGGCCAATCCACGGTTCACCATGCGCAAACCCTCATCATATTCCTCCTTTGTCTCACAGGGTACAGAGAAATCAAAGCCATGTGCACCGTTCAACTGGACATCAATCATACCCGGGGCAATGATACGGCCGCCGAGGTCGATGATCTCGTCGGGGGTCAAGTGTGATCCATAGAAAGCCTCTTGATCCTTTAGGATCTTTCCAGTCAGAGAGTCAATCCAGAGATCTTGCTCGACCAAGTTCAAGCCGTACACCAAGCGGCAGTTGGTGAACTTGGTAATGCGCGGGGTGGTTGTTTTGCCCGGCATTGTTTTTGTTGATAGGATATGTTCCTAATGTTGTTAGATGTTAAGTTGAAAAGAAAACAGAAAGAAGAGGGGAAATCCCAAGTACATAAAGATCCAGGTACAATGATGTAACAGTAGACTGAGTGACATTCGGCATGCCGATGTGGTATACAATATAGTATGTATCTAGTTGTACCTATTGTATTAAATAATTACACTATCAATACTCGGCCCGTAAATTACTAAAACCGGCTTTGACAATACGGTAAAAAAAAAGCCCCCATACGACACTCCCCGGATGCGGGTCTCTTTTTTTTCTTTTTCTTCCCAATGCAACATCTCTCTCTCTTGTCACATCGTAAGTGGGACAATCTCCTCACGTTACTCAAAAAGTTATATGACTCCAGTGTTTTATCATTTCCATGGATTTTGTAACTTCTCCAGATGATGACTCCATCTTTCCCCCGCCTTAAACCCAAATGTATGTTGTATGTCGCATTGAAAAAAAATGGATCCTCAGATATAAGACAAAACTCTCCTTTAGTGTGACTCGGTTATATATATTAGTTTATCTCCTTAGTACCAAAAAGCCTTAGCTTCATCTTAATTTCATTTCCCTGCAGAATTCACCTTGGCAAGGGATTATCTACATTCTTAACATTCTTCATCTTGTTTCTCACGTGGAGGAACATTCCTCGGGCCCCTTGGCTCGCTTGTTGATTTACATTATTTTTTCCTACCCCTGTAGATCGCGTTTCCTACAGCCATGACTGAGCCCGAGAAGCAAGAAGCCGAGAAGCAAACCGGGCCGACAGAACAATATGCATCAATGTCTACGGATGTGGCTGCTCCGCAGGATCCTGAATCAGGTGTGGACCAATCAGTGATAGGCCCTGCGTGGATGTACAAGCCACTATTCAAGATAGGCAAATGGGAGGCTCCTTATTTTGCCTCACCGGAGATGCAACTATACTTGGTATCATTTGTCTGCTTTTTATGTCCTGGCATGTTCAATGCCGTTAGCGGTCTCGGCGGCGGCGGTCAAGTTGATACCCACGATGTGAACAACGCCAATACCGCACTATACAGTACCTTCGCAGTAGTGGGTTTCTTCGCCGGCTCCATTGCCAATCGCATTGGTCTACGGCTCACCCTCTCCCTGGGTGGGTTCGGGTACTTCCTCTACGTTGCTTCGCTCCTCTCGTACAATATCAACCAAAATGCGGCCTTCCTCATTTTCGCCGGAGCTCTGCTCGGTGTCTGTGCTGGTCTGCTGTGGTGTGCTCAGGGTGCGGTCATGTTGAGTTATCCACATGAGCATGAGAAGGGGAAATACATTGCTATCTTCTGGGTGATTTTCAACTTGGGTGGTGTCATTGGTAGCTTGGTACGTTCACTTGTACACCTTGAATTCCAAGCAATATACTAATATCAGCAGGTCCCTCTCGGCCAAAATATGCATTCGACCGCCGGCAACGTCAACAATGGCACCTACATTGCCTTCCTTGTTCTAATGGCCATTGGCTTCATTCTCTGCTGGTGTCTCGCCGATTGCAAGCACGTCATGCGCAAGGACGGCTCGCGCGTTATTGTCATCAAGAACCCAACTTGGAAGTCCGAATTTTTGGGTCTTTGGGAGACATTGATCAATGATTCGTACATTGTCCTGATGTTCCCCATGTTTTTGGCTAGTAACTGGTTCTACGCATACCACTTCAACGCAGTCAATCTCGCCTATTTCAATGTCCGCACTCGAGCCCTGAACAGTCTTCTGTACTGGCTGATGCAGATGGTGGGTGCGTTCGTCTTCGGCAAGTTGTTGGATTTGAAGGGTGTCTCGCGTCCGTTGCGCGCCAAGCTCAACTTTGGCATTTTGCTCGCTATCACTATGGGCATCTGGGGTGGAGGATACGCATTCCAGAAGAAATATACCCGGGAAACCAAGGGTCTCGGTATGGATTTCTCCGATAGCGGCTACGTTGGACCCATGTTCTTGTATATGTTCTACGGATTCTACGATGCTGCTTTCCAGACCTGCACTTACTGGTACATGGGTTCTCTCTCCAACAACAGTCGCAAGTTGGCCAACTTTGCTGGTTTCTACAAGGGTATCCAGTCTGCTGGCGCTGCTGGAATGTGGAGGTAAGCAACTCTTGCTTTTTTACTTTCCTCGTTTATTATTTCAGTAACTAACAACCTTTTAGCCTGGATGCACAGGAGACCGCGTACATGACCGAATTCGCCTCTTGCTGGGGTCTGCTCGTCGGTAGTATGGTTGTTGCTTCACCTGTGATCTTTTTCAAGGTCAAGGACAGCACTGCCGTCGAGGATGATCTGCGATTCTCCGATGAAACCGCCGCTGAAGTCCTGGGTCATTCCAATGAAACATCTGAGATGGAGATGGATAAACCTCATGCAGAAATGCACACTCCTACCGATACTCTCCGCCACTCTCACGAGGAGACTATTACCAAAGAATGATTTGTCGCCGAGGGAGCCAACAGTCCCCGCCAGTCATATGTACCACCCTGCAGACCATAATTGATTTAATCACTTTCTTCAGACTCACCACTGCGCGACGAATTGTCCAGTTATGAGGCGTGTCATTTTTTATACTCGCCCGGGCCACTGCGCCACGGGTCGTGAGTATCGACAATTTTCGACACTTTTCGACGAATACACAAAATATCAGTGAATCCCTTTTCAATGATCTTGTACATTATTTCGGGTGGCCCTCCTTTCTAGACGCTGGGGGCTTTATTCGGGGCGTGCTTTAGTCTATCGAGATGCGTATATATATATTAGATCTCTCAAACCACAATGCAATTGAATATTATCAAAATATATAATCAGATTATGTATCCATACACCCCTCTCACAATACCTCCCACCAAAGAATTAACCCTTAGTAGGGGTAGGCAACGGCACCGAAGACTGAGTATGAGTCGCAGACTTAGGCCCAGTCGATCCAGAATTGGGCTTCAACTTCTTGTCGCCCTTGGGCAATTCCCACCCATTCAGCGTACGATTGAACAACTGCAACGAAGCCTCGGGCTGATAATACGGTACTTCGTGACCAGCCTCATAGACACGGGTGAAAGAGAAATTTCCATACTCCCTCGTCTCACCATACTCGACACCATCGACGAGGAAGGGCGCATAGCCCGCCTTCTGGAACTCCTTGCTGTGCTTGTACTTTGCCGCGAGGGAGATGGCCTCGCCACCGAACCAGTTGCAGATGTAGTCTGCATCGCCGTAGATGAGGGCGACGCGGACGGGACGCGAGAGGATGTCTTCTAGGTCTTCGAGGAAGTTGGGCCAGACGAAGTCGCCGGTTTGCTGGAAGGCGAAGTAGACTTCGTTGTTGGATTGTGTGTAGTTTACGTCGACGCCTATGGCGTTCATTACTTCGTCTTTCGCGAGGTAGTTTTGGTAGTAGCTTTCTGGGGTTGGGTCGTTCTTTGGATGGCGGATGTCGTAGGTGCCTCGGCCGCTGAAGACGTAGTAGGGGCCCTCTGTGTTGGTGGTTTTGTTAGTTAATTAATTATGTAGGTATATGGTTACGGTCTACATACCGACGTTGTCCCGGCACATGTTGGTTGCTTCGCTGCAAAGTGCGAAGTCGGACAGCGAGGTGCGGTTGGTAAGCTTGCAGCTTGCGACTTGGTCCTGGCAGCCGTTTGGCATCTCATTGGCGAATTTCATGTAGCTGTAGACTGTCTCGTTGACCTGTATGTTTTCGTTAGTGCGAAACTATATTATTGGACGTCTGAAGACTCACGGCCTTGATGCCATAGCTGTTGTTCACGGCAAATTCAGGGTAGTACTTGGCTTGAATTCCCTCATCGATGATGCCATTAATGATACCCAAAGTGTTAAAGTCGAGTTGAATGCCCTCATGGGTGCCGTTAGCGATCTTGAGGTTCTCTTCGTAGAAGTGATCGAAGAACTGTCGATGTTAGAATTTGAGCGAAGGAAATGTGAAATACACAGGCAGTAGACTTACGGCGGGGCCATAATGTCTGAAAGAAGTCAGCAATGGTACATTAATAGATATTTCAGAGGCAATAGAGTAAACTCACCCTCCATAACTTTCAGTCCACAAATTGAAGCTCTTCGATTTGATCTTCGAGTCCAGCTTGGGGAGACCACCTAGGAATCCCTGCAGGACTTCCCAGGTAGCCTTAGCAGCGAGTTCAGTTGTATCGATTGCGGTGGCATTAATGACTGGATAACGACCATCAATGCCTGCAAAGGATGGGTCTTCGTATGAACCTGTGATAGGGTTAAGGGTGCCAGGCGCTTTCTCGGCGTAGGAGAAACCTGTGATTATATTAGATGTTTGAAAAAAATAAAAAAAGATAATAACGAGATAATCATACCAACACCCAGAGGCTGAGAGAGGAACAGCATATTCGAGACCTCATTCCAGGAGTGCTTGTTGATATAAGATTCATTATTCTTGTTGACACCACAAGGGCCCAATTCCTCGAACAATCCGATCAAAGAGTCACTACCCGGTCCACCGTTTAACCACAATGTAATAGGCGCATTTTCAGGGTCATGGCGAGCCTCGAAAAACCAGAAGAAAGTGTGCTCTGTGGGGGAGAGGTCCACATAGCCCGCATAGGATTTGACACCTGGGGTAGTTTCACAAACACCCTCTTTACCAGGCTCTTTATAGCGGATGGTGACATTATTAGCCGTCTTAATAGTCTTGACGTCTTTTGCGGGATTGGGCAGTTGACGGCGGAAGAAAGCCTCCAAGCCATCGTCCGATGGCACTGCGAGCGCCGCTACAGCAGGCAGAAGTGGAATCCAATGTGAGACACGCATGATGGGCTACACATTCAAGAATCAACGTTGCACAGATTACAGAGGGTGCCTACGGGGATACTTATAGTCCCCAGAAGAGGGGAAATAAACAGAACTAGTACATGATAAGAGCGCATTTTAGGCAAGGATTCGGAAAAGGTCGGTGAAATTGTTTTTGATCTCCGTAGGAGCTCCGGGAAACGGTGACATCGGCCTCACGAGGGGAAGAGTTAAAGCTCCACTAAGAGGTTGGAAGTTCATCTATTCGATAAGCCGGGGAAAGATCGGCATTGGATAGTAAATTGTAGGCTGTGTTTAATACAAAGCAGGGATCTCACGGACCTTAATTGACTAAGGAATTGTAGGCAGACAAGGATGTTGCCCGAGAAGATTATTATGACGTGCTGTATTCACCTAACTTGTGAATTATTACGTGTTATCTGATGTTTTATGTAGAACAGTAGAAATATTGATAGTTCCATCGGTATCATCTACACTCCAGGTACTATACCAGACACAGCCCCTAAACACAGGGTATATTAACATTTACCGCTCACGCCGTGCGGTATATACAGAGCGGAAACAATAGTAATAGCCAAACACAATGAGGCTTTTTCCGATCGAATCACCAAGCTGGCAAGGTCAATCGAAAAGTTCCGCCTACTGGATGATGCGTTGTTTCTCGACGGCATCGTCGCTATCGATCGCATCAAAAGCGGCGAAAGAGGAGAGAGGGGAGATTTTTCAGCAAGGCATTGCGCCAGCGGAGCAACTGCAAAATGATATCTTGATCAGAGAAGAACCACACAGGTCACTACTCATAGAGACATATGAACACTTCATTACGAGGAATGAGGACCCATTCAACATCCTCGTGACGGACAAGGAGGACATAGACTAGGAAGATGGCCAGGAGGATGATGATGTGGAGTCTTTCTATTCCATTTGGTTATTTTATATTCTACTATGGCATCGAGGCCGATGCTTTCGTTCTTTAGGGAAACTGTGACCCTTTTGCCCTCGTGACCTGCCAGGTCACGTGGACATGGTTTCCTTCCCATCAGAGCTTCCATTGCTACACACTTCCTGGTTTAGCAATTATAGACAATGCCAGCACAAGCAACAAGATCAAAGAGGCATATTTTATAAGTGTATATTGTAGTTACAGTAAGCGACGTTTATATAGCTTGGCTTGAGTACTGCTACAATGAATGCCAAGCCGCTACCCCAGAGTTAGTCAGGGCCTAAATAGGCAGGTCCTATTTGGATATAAGGCCATGGAAGGAATGGGATTTTAAAGTCGACGACCCAAAAGCTTATCCTAACGGAACTACTCCGTAAATAATATGTGAAATCCCTACTTCCCTTCTTATAAGTCTCAGGGGGAAGTATAAGCCAAGATATGAATAAAGGCCCAAGGCACTTGAAATTGGTCCAAAAAAAGTCAAACTTAAGAAAAATTGTGTGCATAATTTAAAGCCTTTTGCCGCCTTTTTTTTTGCCAACATATAATTATTGTATAAAATTGACACATCTAAACAGAATGATATCTGAGAACACTATTAAAGTGACTGAAAAGACCTCTGAAAAGACATCAGAAGGCCGGTTATGTGGCCAACTATTCTTGTACAACATAGTAATATCGTTAAAAGAGTATTATATGTTGTAGCCATTTCAAAGTGGACTGCTTCTAGAACTGCCGATCTCACTGGATATCACCCGAATGCCATATTGTGTCCTTATTCTTTAGAATAGAACTAAACAAAACAAGAAATTCGATATAAGCTTATCGACTATATTGCAGTTTCATATTCGCCACAAATTCAATTCATTTCAATCTCATTTCACTATAATTAAACCAATGAAACAAGGTCAACCTTGGAAGTGCCTGGAGCCAAGAAACCTCCAATATAGGGTAATCGGAAAAATCATTGATCCGAAATTGTGTCTGCCGTGGTCTCAGACTCCAAGATCGTCCAAGCCCGATTCTTGTTGAATCCTCATTTCCACGATACATTACTGCATCATCATTGGTTGATTTCATGTGTCAAGTAGGAAATAAGTGGGAATGAGTCTGGAAATAGGTGGACATATACCCAAACACGGCATCGACCCCCTGGCTACCCACTTAATTACCGCCCCATAAGGACAAAGACACGAAATTATTAAATTTCAGGGAAAAAATTGAGCTGAGATTATGTGCTCCGTAGCGAGATGGTTTCCTCTCATGGAATCTTCTCCGATTGATAGACGTTCTTTGTTAAAAAAGGGGCCATAACACTGTTCATCCTTCCCCCCCGTGTTTACATCGTGTGTTTCACTGGTGAAACTATCCTCCAGACTTCCAGGAACATAATTGTCTTTTATTCAGAGTCAGCGTAAGTCAGATCCACTTCTATTGATTCTTTATCTTTCTGATCCGATATAGAGTAATACCTTGCATGATTCAGACACCAGCCATCTTCGCCATGACTAAAGCCACTTTGGGCTGGTTGCAATTGTGATTTTTATAAATGGATAGGGGCATTATACCAAAGCTTCAAAATTATTGTCTAATTCGCAATTTGCTGGGGAGTTATATCTAAAGTGTGCTCGACTTTGGAGACTAAACCACATCATACACTGCGACATGGATTCTGCACCAGAGACTCCTGTTCACACGGCCGAGGTTGAGAACGAGCAACAAACGGCTCAAGGAACATCCAGTCCATATCCATCCCATCCGATTGTCCAACTTCAAGGCCCATTTGAAGAATCAATTGTGGAAACGACTGATGGTTCAAGAACTAATTGGGTCGTTGACATTGACGCGCAGAAACGGCGGCGCGATCTATTAGAAAACCCTCAATACGAGCGGCTTTGTGGGCGAAAATGGCGCCAAAGGGCCTCTGAAAAGTGAGGAGTTAACTCATACTCGTACGTGACACTGAACTAACCCAATCATATAGATATCATCCGTTTTGGAAATTAATTTCCCAAATGGTCTTCGGAGTACACCTCCTAGCCAAGAACCTGGCGAAATCCGAAGGCTCAGTCATGAGGATTCTACAGAAACACGTGAATGAGCTGGATGGCTTTTTGGAAAGGACCACTGAAGACTTTTTGATCATCCGACTAGACGTTCGCACTCGAATTCAGTATCTCAATCTACCGCTGGGAAACCTCGATGTCTTCGATGAGATGCTCCAAGACCGGAATTTCCGGCTATCAGTTGTAGCCTATAATGATCAGATCGAACATTCCATTGAAAGGTTCTCCCTTGCCATCACGGACTCACTTAAAGACCTACAAAAGGCAAAGGAGGCCATGGGAGCGCTGTGGTTCTACTTCCGGGAACTTACAGAAGAGGGTTGCTTCGAGTCCGAGAGCCTCAAGGCTTTCCATCAGGCCATGATGGACAATATGGAGGGCTGGATTGTCGCCATATCAAAACTTCGTCGACAGGGTAGGGCCCTTAACAAGGCCATGGGCCAACTTGGCCTGGCGACTACACAAATGCAACGACGAGTGGGAGTAGCGAGTAGAAAGGATGTGGTGAGTTGACAAGCCCTTGTTCAATTACAGCACTAACTATCACAGCGATCGTTTATCAAACAAACTAGCAAGACTGCAAGTCGAAGCAAGTCAATTACACAAATGCTCTTTAATAAAGAACGACCCGTATCAGAAAAACCTCTCCCTCGGGATCCATTATCGAAGCCAAAGAGGACACCGACGGCTTCCAAGCAGTTGGATACTCCCGCCCCAATTGAAGATAAACCCGACAACCCTGCAGACCAATCTGTCCCAAGCGATGGCATTCGGCGCAAGATTATGAGTCGGGCCAAATCATGCAGTGCTCTTATAGCAGAAGCCGGCGCCGGCGCCGGCAACGAACCACCTCCCCTTCCATCGACACCCGGAAAACTCAAACATAGGCTCTCAAAGCCTTTCTTACTCAAGCGATCCACCAGCGAGAAAGTCGACTTGGCACAAGTCCGACCGAAAACAGCACCTTCACAACCTTCACAACCCTCACGACCCTCACGCAGCATCTCCATAGAACAACTCCGGGCATTCTGCACCACTCCGCGCCCCCGGACCGGTCAATCTACAGTCGAATCGCCCACGAAAGCGCGACAGCAGGCCCACAACCAACTAACAAATGGCCGAGAGACAATGAAGGATCAGATATCTCAGTTCCTCAAGACGGACCGGGTGGTCGAAGCCTGGGATAGCGTGTCTAAGACCGCGTGCTGTACTCGCCCGATTGTGAAGACGAAAGACTGGCCCAGCAGCATCTTCCGAGCCAAGTCATCTTCTACCACCCTACAAAACAAGGGCAACGACACAAGCCTCTCCGGGCCGGACCTGGACAGACAGATGTCCTGGGTACAAGAGACATTCGACGTATTACCTACATACTCGTTCAAACCGAAGTTTGACATGTCACCCCGGATCCATGTCGTATCAGTGCATATGACCCTGGATGAGGACGCTAATGGGGTGGCTGAGAGAGAGGCGAGTTTGGATCTGAGAAGTGAAGTCGGGTCGAGTATCACCGCGTTGCCGGCTGTGCCGACGCCCATTCCACCGGTTAGTCAGAATTGTATTGCATATTATAGTATCCTGCTAACTTTATTATACAGATTGCGTTGGAGCATCGATCTAGATTGATCGACTGTGCTTAAGCTTGAGGTATTAAGGCTTGAAAGTGTAGTACATCATCACTTGGGAATCGAGACATAGAATTAGAATTATAGAAGAATTTAGCTGTATACCCTCATGTTTATTTCAGAATACAACATAGTATAATACAAAAAAAAATAATAATATGATATTATATGTACTCCGTGTATTCCATACTTAGTGTTGTCGTATAGCCTCGTCAACCCTGCGCCCCGAGCTGCGCCACCCAGTCGTTTGATTAGAAATTCTTTGACTTTGCTCTTCTTTTATTTTTTATTTTTATAAGTTTTCCTCTTCATCTTTTTGTATCCTTCCATAAACATCCATTCCTTATCTTCAAACCATCAAGTACTGGTACCACTATCACCATACATAATAGGAGGCCAAACAAGTCACTGTACCTTCCTAGCCTGAAACTGCAGCCTAAACTGCCAAGGACCCACCGCTCTCACCAGCCCCCATTGACGTCGAACATCTCACATCCTTGAAATCGGCATCTTTTCTCTCTGTTTTCGGATTTCTCACTCGATCTCTTCCTCAAAAATAATCAGCCCACCATGGCAGTCCTATCCGCCCGATATTGGTGAGTAACATAAAGATTAACTGTCACAGACACATCTCACTAATCTCTCATCTGTAGCTATGGGTACAACAGCGACTGTTATTCCACCTGGGACTCTTGGGGTCGCTGGGTAGCGTTCGCCGTAATCGTCGGTGTAGCTTTCCTACTCTTCTTCGGGTTCGCGTGAGTCCTACCCCCTTTTCTCCCATTACCGACCCTAACAAGCCTTGTTCCAGATGCTTCAACGCACGCCGTCGCCGAACTCATGGCCAGCGCCCTCTCACAGGAACCGGATGGATGGCTCCTCCTCCAGGACCTCCTCCGCCAAACCAGCCCATCTACCAGCAACCTCCCTACGGCGACCCTTACTATCAGCAAAATGCGCCTCCACAATACAGCCCGAACCCTCAACACCACGGCTACTTCGGTGCGCAAAACGCATCCCCACAGCAGCAAGGCATTGAGTTGCAGCAGCCTCCGAATGCGTACGGTGGCAGTGGACCTTATGCGCCGCCCTCTGGCCCCCCACCACCCAACGGCCACAAGGGCTAGATACGCATTTTCGCAAAGCTTAATGGGCATGGCTTTGAAGGTCTCCCGATATTACATTTCTATCGATAAATGTTTCAGAAGTTAATGGGTTAGGTTTACGGCGTTGTCAACTGGGTGCGAAATATGTCTTTTTCTTTGATTTGATCGCATACCCACATGGGTGGATGTTTTTTTTCTCCTCTTTTAATGCTTCCTCGTGTCTTCCATGTCACATTTTTAGTGAAGTTCAACTGAGTTCGAGCATTTGTCTGCAGCCTTAGATCCCTGAAAGAATGGGATTGGGTTATCAAGTTCTGAGTTCTCCAGTACATTTTTCTCTCTAATGATATAACTTGAACGGCTAAATGGGCTTGAATAAAATACAAATTAGAATTAGAATTGCGCTTTCAAAGTGGACTGGCTCTAATTGATTCATTGGGATATCGTGTATGTTGTAGATCACCCGGTTTCAGAGAAGAACGTCCAATTTACAAATGCTCTGAGATTGGGCCAATTGAACTCACCAATTTAACAACTCACCTATTAATTGTAAACCCTCACAGATTCATGAACATGTAATTGATATTTCGATATAGCGGTCTGATTAGTGCCCCAGGCACCTTATCTCCGCCGTATATCGCGCTCCGCCCTGCATTTTCCTCAATGCGACAACCTCCAAGCCCATGGATATCGACGACATTCTCGCGTCAGTGGACCACGGCCCAGGCGCCAGCCCCGAGTCCGCAGCGCTAGACCACCAGCTGCTCACGCGCTTTTGGGTAGCCGAACGCGCCGTGTCGGAGGTACTACCATGGCCGGCGCCACTGATGGAGCGCATAATGGATCGCGTGCGGACACAGGTACACAGCAATTACACAACAGCTATCAATCCCTAAAACCAATCTAATACATACCTACAGATCGAAACAATCGAAGATCTAGCCGCCTCGTCAGAGTCAACACTCCCAACAACAGCAAACACGCACAATCCCAACCTCAACCTCCGCCTTTCAATCCTCCAAACAGACCTCGCTCGCACGCAATACATAGTGCGCAGTTTGTTGCGAGCCAGACTAGCCAAAATAACAAAATATAGCATGCATTACCTGGTCCTGCTAGCCTCGCGCAATAAAAACCCCGCATCGCAAACACAATCAACGGCCTCCTCGCAGAACCCGAATCAACAGCCCGAGGACTCCGTGCCGGATATATCAACGCTGACGGATCTGGCGCCGCTCTCGGAGCCGGAATCGTCGTTCCTACATGCTCACCAGACGCTCTTGGCGAGCCATTATGCGGGGTCGTTTATGGGGGCATTTCCGCGGCAGCTGAGGCGGTTGGATGATAATGCCGGTGGGACGAGTATGATCCAGGGGCCGGAGTTGAGGGAGGTTGTTTTTGTTCGGTGTCTTGGGGCGGAGGTTCCCGTTGTTGTTGGGGGTGAGGAGGAGGAGGAGGGGAATGAGACGGGGGTTACGATGCGAATGGGGGATGTTTGGGTTGTGAGGTGGGAGGGGGTTAAGGCGGCTTGGGGGAAAGGGGAGGTGGAATTATTGTGATTTCTTTTTGAGTCTTTTGGACTGAGTCTGATAGACGACTTCATCATAGCGGAGTAGCGGTTCCTGGGCTGGTGTTGGGCGTTCATTCTATGATATATTATGTTTCTTACTATGACTAGGATTTGTTGAGATATACTATGCATGTCCTGCTAAGGCAGTTTCCATTACAACAAATCGGATAGTTCTCTGTAATCATTTCATTTCATTTCTTTCAATCCCTTGAAGACGCCAATCGCTAAGCTCAGAGTAACGCAAGCACAACCTGAAAAACACCGAGATGCGAGGACACCCCGGACCATAAAATCATAAGAATAAAGTAGAACAAAATGAGTAGATCGGGTACAAGGTAGATCCCATGATCAACTGAGCCAAGTCTGGCTTTATGCGACATACCCGTACGTGGGTGGCTCTTCAGAGACTCGCTCCAGGTATTCGCGGTCAATCAGACTCTCAATGCGGCGCTTGATCATATTCACATCTGGAACAAAGCGAGCAGAGAGTTGCGCAAGAGTCTCAGTCATTAGTTGAGAATGAGTAAGCGTTTTCCGTTGTCTGACAGATATTAATTCGTCGGATCATATACGAGGTTATTTGGAGGGGGTCATACTTCATAATGCGGACGATGGCAGCTTCGATGGTACCGTTGCGTTCGTCATTCATCTTCTTTTCAGTGACCTTGCGCTGATCTTGGTTCTCGACCTTGTTCGCACCGCCGCTGACAACTCCGATACGCACTTTCACAAAGGGGCTCTGGAACTCATGGTTGAAAAAGAAGCGGTCGGTGGGTTTCACGTCTTTCGTCATAGGATCCTTCTTCAGAACTCGAGTTTTCGGGGCAACGGCGAGCGATTGCAAGTTACGCATTAGGTCATGGTCTTGGATCCGAGTGCGAGTTTGGATATCGTCATAGGTGAGAGCTTCGCCGTCTGGGACGTCGTTGAATAATAACAAAATGACCATAGCGTATGTTGACACGTTGAGTTCATAGCGCTGGACTTTGCCATTGGGCCGTACGAAAGTGGCTCGAAGATCGCCAGTACCCATGCTAGCTTGCCACGACAGTTTGCGACCACTGTGCTTGTCGAGATAAAACCTCTCAAAGCTTTGCTTCAGTGTATCAACCTCCCGTGGGAAAATGCAAGGTAGTTGGGCCGTTCCTTCTCTGTTTGCCATAATTTCCATCGGCCACATGGTACTGGTAAGAACATTGATCTCCAGGTCCACCTGTTTCTGGTCGGGATCACCATTGCGCGCAATGTACGCCTTGTAATTGTTGGTGAGATCTTCCGAGATGGTCATATCCTTGAACATGGACTCAATGCGTTGCGTGAACTGATTGCCGACCTCCATCTTCATCTTGGAAATCATCTGTCTCTCTGCATCCATACTGACGGAGCGTTTCATCAAAAGACGACGTGATAGATGTTTCTTGTAATAGGTCTCAAAGAGATCCTTGTCCTTAATGTAGCGCAACAGTGTGATGCCGTTGTCCAGGAGAACGTCTACTTCGCTCTCTGTCTTTCCCTTGATGCCCTTCTTCAAATTCTCATCGAAGAAGAGAGAGAGGTACTCAGAGTTCCGCGAGTTCGCGTTGATGAAACTGGCAAAGCTGGCCCCAATTGACCCTTGCATGCCCTGGTCGGAGGCGAAGGCATGCTCCCAAATGACATCGAATTTTCGCTTGAGGCCCAGAATATCGTCGACCCAGCGGATTGCTGACACGGTTTGCTGGTTCTGAGGCTTCTCCTTATCTTTCACCTTCTCGGGCTTTTTCTCTCCTTTGTCGGGTTTCTCTGCTGGCGGGACTGGTACTTGTGGCAAAAGTATAGACGAAGCATTGATTTCTTTGCCCATTTCCACAATCCGTGTGTTGACTAATTTTGTCAAAGCTTGCTTCTTACTGTCGACTCTTTTGTTGAGCATGTAAACATCCCTTAGCCCATCCAACTGATCGTGATCCAGCATGCGCCGGACACCAGTTCCCTCGAGATTGACGACTTCTTCAATATTGCTCCGGATTAGCTGCTCGTCAAGCAACTCAAGGACCTTAGGTTCTGTCGTGAGCGACAACATGTACCGGCATCGCTCCTCCTCTTCCGTGATCCGCTGGGTAGCGAGTCGGCAAAACGTGGCAGCATCTCCCATGTCTAACAACCGTTGCCCTTCTGCTTGGTAGAACTCCTTGCTCGCTTTGAGGAAGGCTGGCTCAAACTCAGTTAGGTAGAGCTTCGAACTCTCTTCCTCTGTAGCAGTTTCGTAGAGACCCTCCAACATTTGGATGCAATGCCGAATGAGCGGCCGCTCAATGATGTGGCCAGACCGTTCGAGTTGAACCATAAATAGTATGGTGGCCTCGAGCACATCCATAACAGTCAAATCGGAGCTATCACGGACGGGAGATCGTAGGATATGGTCGCGGAATAAAGCCATACAGGCAACGTAAATGGGTGGGTGCGTGCGGCTTGCTATCATGCGGTCCTGCGCAAGAAGTTAGAGCATTGTAGCAACATAATAGAGCGTAACAACTTACCATATACATAAGAACATCAGTGACCATGCCCATGCCCAGTTGATGATCTTCCCAAGCATCCTTCAGGATAGTGAGAAACTTCTCCCCCGCCTCCCTCCTCTCACTCGACTGGTCCTGCGCATCGGTGGATGTTTGCATTCGTACAAGGCTCGAAGAAATCGAATCGACAACGAGGGTTCGGACATTGGTTTTCAGCCAGTCCTTCTCCAGTTGTTTGACATGCTCGTAAAGATCGGGTGCCCGCATCATCAACACGATCTTGTAGGCGTGGCGATAGATCTCTTCGAATGCCAGGGTTGAGGCATTTTTAGTATTAATTTCAGTCAATGATGATGAAAGGATTGTCCATATAGAATCAAAATCTTCGGTATTAGCATGGGAGACTCCCTATAGAAGTATAGTTAGCGGATAGCTTCAGTGTTAACCCCGCGGTTAGCGAACCCTTCGGGGAGCTCGAATTTTGTGACGAGCCCTCATTGCTGCCATTTTGATGGCACAAACAGTCTGAAACCAAGAGAAAATGAGTGAATAGAGACGTCAAGTAAAAAAAAAGGTGAAGGAGAATTACGCTCTTCACTCCGCGGAGGCCAACCCCGGAAATTCTAAAGTTCCGCCTGTCGCTGACCGAGCATCATCATTTCACTGGTTGTTTTTTTTTTTTTCTCCTGTCATGAATCGTTTCTTTCTGAATTGCAAATATCTCTAGCATCTTTTGACTCCTTTATCTACCGGCTTTCAAATACCTTCACATATCGTCACCATGCGCCCCTTCACCATGGGTCTTCGCCCATTGAATGCCCTTCTGTCGCAAGCACAATCCTACACTCCTATTGCGCGCACACAATCATCACGCTTCCTTTCAACACAATCCCTCTCTCTAAACTCAGCTCGCCCATCATATATTCTCCCTCGCTCGCAGCGCATCCTCGCACACACTCAACTCCGATACAACTCCGGCTCTGCCCGCCCTCTCACCGAATCGCCCAAGAGCGGATCACCCAAGACCCAGGCGGAGCAAGAGGCTGAATGGGAAGCACAGAACCAGGAGCGTCGCAAAGATGAGCAAGCCTACCGTATCACATTCACTTGCAAGCCATGTGGTCATCGCTCCGCGCACCGCATGTCCAAGCACGGTTACCACCGTGGAACTGTCCTGATCCAATGTCCATCGTGTGATTCGCGTCATGTCATGAGTGATCACCTTGGTGTCTTCTTCGAGAAGAAGACAACTTTGGAAGATATTTTGAAGGAGAAGGGTCAGACATTGACCCACGGCCATACGGAGGGAAACCTGGAATTCTGGGAGGATGGATCTGTGAAGAGTTATGACTTGGAGGGCAAGGAAATATTGACATCACGCAATGATAAGCCGACTTGAATTCATTTGAAGCGAGGTTGCTGCTTGGTCTTGATTCGGTGCATAGCAGGTGTCGGCTTTGTTTCTCTCGTTGGATAGACATGTATATTATGAACGGCGATTAAAGACTCTCTCCTCTCAGCATGGCAGGATCCAAGCATCGACGAGAAAAAGGATATATGTGGACTTTGTACATTAGGAATCACATTCGACTGAATTTTCAGTCAACCCCATTAATTTCAAGGACAAGTCGATCTTCAAAAAATACTACACATATTGAGAAAGTAAGAGCTTTGTACAGAAGAAATAAAATTGTTCTGAAAAGGTATATACAATGCAGGTATAAAATAGTAACCCACTCCACCGAAACGCCCAATTTTTGTAAGCCAATAACACCATTTCATGAGACATGCGAATAGATGCCAAATCCTCTACCAACCGCGTCTCTTTCCGCGGTGCTCCAAGCCCTTCTCACGACGCTTGTCTCTCTTCCGCTCGTTCTTCTTCATCTTATCACGTCCGTACTTCTCAGGGTCGGAAACAGCTTCGATGCGACGCTTGGCCCGTCGTCCTTCACGACGTTCCTTGATGGCCGCCTGGACTCTAGAAATCTGTTCCACGTACTCGGTGGTGCCGAGTTTCTTCTGGAGAAGATCCAAGACCTCATGGCAGTTGGAGACGAGGGACTTGTATGTGTTTTGGAAAGTCTCGTCAGACGAGCGCGGCGCCGGGATCGATGGATCCGTCAGGTGTTGCAGGGGAATGAGAATGACACGGAGAGAAGGACGGATCTGGTCAACCTCGATGTGGCGGATGAGTGCGGCAAGAAGCGTGATGGAGGCTGTCTTGGGGATGAGGGCCTCTGCTCGGCCGGAGATAGTTTCCCGCCGCAAAAGGGAGGAGACCTGCTTGAAGATATAGTGGATGGCAGATCTGTTGTATGCCACCTTGGCTCCCTCCTTCGCCTCTCCTTCAGCTTCACTACCAGCATCCTCATCCTCATCCTCATCTTCGGATTCAACATTATCGCCTGCCAGCTTTGGGAGTTCGAGTCCGTTTTGGGAACAGCAACGTCCAAGGAAAACAGTGTTGCGCACACTCTGCATAGCCAGTTCCTCGGCAATGCCTGGGGTACGCAGACTGCGGAGACTGGCGCGAAGAAGCTGCAGCATAGCCGGCTTATCGATGGCAAGACCGGAACTTCCAGTCAAGGGAAGGGAAGCGTAACCAGCAGCGGCATTTGTCTTGGCCAGATCAGCCATCCACAAGCCTACAAGGTTTGCAGCGCAGGTCTTGACCCATGTGTGGGGGAAGAACAAGCACTCTTGAACGGAAGTCCAGATAGAAGCGCATTCCGGGCTCAGAGCAAGCGTGGGAACCGTCTTGCAAAGCTTTGTGAAAAGTTGCAAGGCATAGTAAAGAGCTTCCCAATTGCCGTTCTCATGGTCATCAAGAACGGGCTTCATCAAGCCAGGGAGGATGTTGATCACGAAACGAGCCTGTTTATCCTTCTCAGTCTGCTCCGCATCGAAGTAGATCCGCATGGCCTGCAATCCAATACTGCATAGGGCCATGTTGTTGGTCTGCTCCAACCACGAGCGAAGAGGAGTAAGGATGGTTTTCATCTGCTCCCGATCCGCACGGTTGAAGAACTCCCCTAGCAATGTACCCGCCAACTCGCGGCATTCCGGAGACTCGTCGTTCGCCATAGCGAGCACGATAGGCAGGAAGAAAGTGCTGATGATATCCTGTGCCAACTCTGGGCCGGTCTTTGAAAGGAGCGCATGCATCGCCTCCATGACTGACTGCCGTCCAGACTGATGCTTGTAGTCCAGGTTCTTTGCGAAGAAAGCGAGCTGTTTGGTCCAGCGACTCTTTGCCTGCGGATACTCGATCAGGAAATGGATGTATGTACCGCGGGCAAGATCCCGGGCAGACCGGGTCTGGTTTGTCACCATCATGGTCGCAATGTTATCCATAAGCTCATACATCTCGGGAACGACAAGCTTCCTGGACATGACTGCGCGGATGAAGTTGAAAGTCACACCTTGGCGATCTGGTTCCTCAATGTCAGAGGCCAGACGCTTGAGCAAGTATGCAAGATGTCCATCGCGGAGCTTGGTGTCCTTTCGTTCACGCAGCATGGAAGAAATCAACTTCAGGGAGGCCTGTGCCGCCTCAGAGTTGGTGCTAGGAGACTCCTTGACAAGTTTGACTGCTTCCGTGAAATAGACGTGTGAGTTCTCATCAATCTCTGGCAGCGGAAGCTTGATAATAGTAGAGAGCAATCGGAGAGCAGAAACCTTCACTTCCTCCTGGGACTGGACAAGCGCATCACCAATGATAGGAATGAAGCCGGACAAGTTAGAAGCTGTCAATAACGAATTGAACTTGTTAAGGATAGCACGAAGCACATCCAGGGAGAAACGGGTCAACTTGTAAACATGAGAAGAAGTCGTACCCCGGTGCTCGCCCCGCTTAGCTCCTTGCAATCGGATCAAGAATCGCTCCTCGTATCTGGTCTTGGGCGCAGCTGGGCCCGCGTCTGGGGCATTGTCCCGATAGGCCTCTTTGATAACCTCATAACAGAAAACCAACATCTCGCGACTTTCGGCGTCGGGGTTTCTTAGAAGACCGATGCTAATTCTTCGCATAAGCTCATCAAGCTTGTTGACGAGGGTTGTATTGAGTTTTTCGCGGAGGAGTGCCTGCAAAGGCCGAACCAGGTTGGATAATTGGCTGATAGTTGAGATCTTAGCAAGAAGCTCCATAGAGTCATAGCTCTTGCTGCTCTTGACCTCCTGCATTTTGCTGGTGTATCCTTCAGCGTCCTTTTCTTGGCCGACTGTGCCGAAGGTATCATCCATCACAACTGCAACCAGTTCTTTCAAACAGTAATCCAAATCTCCTTGCTTGAAGTGATCAGTGGTGGTCACAAGCATGGAATGAACTGTGAATGAGAGAACGTGAAGTTGGTATCCTCGTGCGAGAACATTGCGAAGTTCCTTGAGGATGTAGCCGAAATAAACCGGGCCCAAAAGGAGGGCGATCTCATTGAGTGTTTTCCGCGCAGTGTCGCGAGAATCCTGTGCTTTACTCTTGAGGGTTGTGCAGACATCCAGCAGGACCGGGGGGAGACGAATAGCCAGATCTTCTTCGGGGAGAATCTTGAGAAGCTTGATAGTGGTAATCGAAGCTGGTAGACGCATACTCATCTCCTTCTCCTGCTTGTGGTGGATGTACTTGGTCAGGAAAGGAATGAAGTTTGTGGTCAATTCCGTTGAAACCTTCGCAAGAGAAGGAACAGTCTTGGCGAGCGTGCACATGGGCTGCTGAACAACATCCATCTTGTCAACTTCGCCATCAGTCTCGACACCATCCATCTTCTCAACTTCGCCATCGGTCTGTTTCTCTATCCCCTTCTTTCGGTTCATTGCGCTAGACAGTGCGTCGGACATGCGGCCCAGCAGTCTAAGGATGTTCTTCTCCTTTTCAGGCTTGCTTGTCATGTAGCTGCGGTATCTCCGGAAGTTTGCTCGGAATTGGCCCCATTCCAACCATTCTGAGAGAGCTCCAAGGGTCGCAACACCTTCGGCAATCAGATTGTGGGCGTTTTCATCAGCAGCATCCTCGAAGACGAAATGCTCAATGAGGGGAATGAAAATAGTGCCCAGATTATTAGCCTGAATGCAGCCTTGAGCTGCGTCTCCAGCCAGACGTCGCAATGCACGTTGCCGGCGGTGCTGCTGGATGTGGAGAATGTTGGTGAAGAAAGAGGCTTCCTCGTCATCACCGACAAGAAGAACGTGCATGTCCTGCACAGAGGGTCTCGTGGGATTGAGTTTGACAAAGTAGCCAATGACAGCGACGACTTCAGAGCGAATAAGTTCAGACTTCTGCCGGATGCCGTATTGCAAAGAGGGGAACAGAACGTCATTGATGAGTGTCTCAAATTCTTCGTCTGGTTCCATGGACGCTCTATCGATGAATCGTCTCAGACCAAAGGAGGCGCTAGACCGGATAGCAAGCTCGTCTTCATCCCTCAGATGGAAAAGCATGTTGTAGAGAAGAGGTCTCCACTGCTTCGCGCTCAAAGTTTGAGACAGCTCGTCGCTGACTGTTCTGAAAGCCTGTAAACGTCTCGCATAATCGGGTTCAAGTCTTTTAGCCGAACGAGAGTTGAGATCTGCACACAAGTCGGCAACTACTTTGAGGTTCTCATCGTGGGTAGCAAGAGCACCAAAAACCCGGGATAGTGTTTCTCTGTTCGCGTCATCCTTGAAGTAGTCGAACATCGAACACACTGCATCAAATACTTGTTGGGCAAGCTCGGGATCTTCTTTGGGGTCCCACAAGGGCAAAAAGTGTTCGAGAATCTTCAACAAACCAGACTTAGTTCTGGGGCTCACACGGTCCGCGGGCTGACGAAGCAGATAAGTCGTAATTCCAACAAGACTAGAGGTCTCCTTGGAGGATTCGACGCAGGGTGCGATCAGAGAAAGAGCATTGACTCCAGAGTAAAGAACGGGTTTGGAGGGGCCTCTCTTGAGAAGACGGCTGAGGTGGAAGAGGGCGTGTTCCAGATAGGGAGAGAGGACTTCGGATTTAATTTGGTCGGCTGGGAAGTCAGACATCTCTTCGGCTTCCTGCAATTTTTTGCCCGTAGACTGCTCGACCAATGGTATGAGAATCTCATCCAAGACAAAGATCTTGACTTCATCACGAGTAGACTCGACCGCGAGACAGTCAATCACCTTAGTCAAGACCTTGTCATTGTGCTGCACCAAGTAGAAGGTTGACCTTGGGGAAGCGGCCCAAGTGTGGAATAATCGCAAAAGGCCCGAAACACCCTGTGCTGTCTCAATGGGGAACTGATCTAGTCTGCTATCAATCACCTCCTTGAAGATGATACGGACGTAGGGAGTCCAATCATGGTTCGGGACAATCGAGAAGACCAAATTGAGACAGCGAATACACGCTGAACGAATATTTTGGAGCACAGGCAAGAGGCGGTCATCTGGGCGATCGCTACCCTCGTTGTAAATCGCCCGGCATGCCCGCACCAAACAGTAAACAACCACATCCATCGTCTGTGACGCAAATTCGGTCATACGGGTTTGAAGGGTCTCAAAGACAGTATCAATCAACTTAAGCAGACCAAGCTGTCTTCTTGGGGTTGTCAATTCTTCCTGGAAGGCAGTCGGATTGCACTCATTGTCTCTGACAACGTGGACGTTTGCAAGAGGACCAAAGGAGAGCTGCATGAAAAGTCTGAAGTCATGCTCTGAAAGGTGCGAGATAGTTCGAAGAATGGTCTTTCGTCTGCCGGCTTGGCCAGCGGCGGCTGAACCAGCCTTAGAGATCATTCGACCATAAAGTAGCCGAAGGACCACGGGGAGGAGAACAGGCCGGTGCTCTTGTTGAATTAAACTATCTTCGTCGCCGACATGCACGAACACAGCCAGCTCGTCCTTGAATCTAGCCTCATCCAAGAGATTGAGCAGGTTTTCCTGATACGGGCGCACATTCGGATCTTTCCAGGTGAAAAGGACTTTGAGCGCATGTTTCTGCAGGTCAGAGTTACCATGGCACAGGAGTCCCAGGACTGCCGCATGGACCTCAGGAGCCTTGTACAAGACAATGGGGTTGAGGAACTGCGCGAACAAGGCAAGCATGGATAACCGATCCCGGAATCCCCAACGCACTTGCGCATCACTACTCTCATCAGTCTCAGCATCTTCAACGTTCGCCTCGCCAGTTGGAGTCGCATCATCTTGGTCCTCACGCAATGCCCAGGACAAGAACAATGGAACAATCTGGCGCGAGCGTTTCTCAGCAACGCCGGGTGCAGCGTTCAAGACACGAAGTGCGTGGGTCCGCGGGCAAGCGGGAAGGATGTCTGCGACTGTGTGGTCCTGTTTGAATTGTTGAGATAGGACATGGTACGGATCCTCTGTGCTCTTGATGTTTGCGGCTACTACTTTTTCGACCTTCGCAACATTGTAACACTTGAAGTGGCTCTTGACAAAAGAGCTTTCATCGTCTTCTTCTGGAACGTCGCTGGGCGCTTCGGAATCCCGCTCTGACAACCACTGGATGGACAGATCGGACACAATCTTCTCACCTTGTGAATTTTCGCTGATAGTCTTCAATGCAGCGGCAGAGTCATCCCACAATGGGGCCAACTTCTTCGAGAACAATCCGAAGCAAAAGTAAGGGATCAGGGTGGCCATCCACCTGCGGTGGGCAATTTGGGGGTATAGAATTGCGAGTTTTCGGATATGCATAGAGATGGTTCTCACGGAGTCCATCGTCAGCGGACTCTTTTCAACTTCTATGGCTAATTCCACGGGAGAGGGATCATCTTTGGCAATGCGAACAACTAATTCCCGTAGAATCTGAAGAGATACCAGCCTCAGCCTGTGTGAGGGGCTTGCCAGATTCACAATTAGATCTTGGGCAAAGGCTTCTAGTGTGGGATGCTCGAGGTCCGCGGACTCCGGGAGTGAGGAAATAAAAGCAAAGGCACCCTCCAAAAAGACTGGCAGGCGGGAGAATTTTGTAGCAGTGGCGATAACCGGTTTCAAAAGACTCGAGTCAAGCTCTCCAACTTTGTTAGCAAGTTCGACATAGGTCTTGAATCCTTGACCAAGGAAAAACACCAGGCCTTTCGTCTGGGCATCATTGCCTTCAGCTGCACCATCTTGGAATGCCGATAGGAGGTTACTATGCAACTTAGAAACCATCTTAGATAATGTGGCAGAATCTGCAAACAAAGAGATAGCGGCTGGAAGCTTCACTAGCGCATTCAAGAAGGCTTCGTCTTTTGTGGGGTATTCCAATGAATCAGTGATGCGAGATTTGAAGGCATCCGGGCAGGAAATGTAGCCAGGTTGCGAGGCCTCGGGCGTGATGCAACCAGCCTCATGCAGGCGAAGCAGGGTGAAACAAGTCTCCCACTCTGACTTTTGCCATGATGAGTTGATAAACTTTTGGAAAGGCGAAAGAAGCAAGCTCTGGAATCGTTCTGATCCCCACTCTGAAAATGTTGCGCAGAAGAATAAGAAATATTGTGAAAGCGGGCCCGTAGACACCAGGTCCATAATAGGGCGAAGGAAAGGTAGCAACTCATCCATGGGGGACATTTGCAGGGCATATGCGACGCTTGTAAGGAGCTGTGATATCGTCGCTGATGATACATCAGATGCCGACACCTGCTGAAGTAGGGACACCTGAATCTGATGAACGATCTTCCAATTTTGAATTCTGACACCCTTACGAGTTGTCACAATCAGAAACATTATATGACAGCACTCCGAGAGATTGGGATTCGGGGTTGATTTTGAGCGCTCTTCGATATAAACCTTGACCGTGTCAAGAATAGGCCCGAAGGTATCAGGGGTCGTGGCGTGGATAAGGCTGACGACCAACCCAAATATAACCTCGGCGGGATCATTGTGATTGTCGCTAGTCGGGGGGATTTTATTCATAACACAACTGAGGATATCCATGCCATTTGAGTGAAGCCCGTTGTTGACTCCCCTGATGGCATCAGAAAACATGGTCATCAGACCTTCCCTGTAGTTCTCGGTATCCTTGTTATCGTCGGCAGCTTTCGAGATATCGTCGAAGAGGAATGATACAGCAGTCTCGAGAGGTGCTTTGTTTTTGTAATAAACAAGGCCGGCCTTCCTGATAAGGAACGACATCGACTCAGCGGCGAACCTCGCCACAAATGGCTTTTGTCGTTCTTTTCCGAGATACGGGGTCATAATGCTCAGCAGCTGTCGCAGGTCCGGCACCAGCAGACGAGAAAGGAACTTGAAAATCCATGCAAGGCAGGTGAAACTCCATTCAACGACCTCAATATCGGGATGTGTTGCCGCAACGGACGACACCAGTGTCACCGCCGTAGCGAAATGCTTTTCAAACTTGACGCCCAGATCCCGAGCGAATTGCGCGAGTAAGCTCAATAGCGGCTCCATGGAGAGTTGGTCTCTCTTTTCAATGAATTCCACCAATGTAGCCATAATCTTTTCTTCATGATACAGAACTTGCGCAAAGCTCTCCGAAAGAGGGTTGACACGCCGTACGAATTGTGTAAAGTTGTCTGAAAGGTTCATCTCAAACCAGTGATCGAGGGCAGCTCGAAAATAAGAGGATGTTTCGTCTTCATCTTCGCCGAAACTGGCGCGGCGCACGCGGTGGATCGGGTCGATTTTGAGCTTTGTGATGCGTGATGAAAAGCCCTCAAATCGATGGTTTTTCGTGGTTTCGGTGCCCGTTTTCAGGCGCCTAACAGGCTTTGCTTTTGAGCCAGTCCCCACCATCTTGACGGGTCTGACGAGCAGCACGGTTCGTGAGAAAGGTACTGGTAACTTTTTTTTTGGCTGATCCGCATGGAATACAAAAAAGTTCATCGGGGCGGGATTTCCTTATTCCGACGCAGATATCTACGGACATCACGTGCTGATAAGGTGGCCCAAGCTCCTGCTTTCGAGAACCCAAGATGTTCTATCCTGCATCTAGTCGCATGTAGTTGATCTCTGGTGGCATCTTTGGACACTTTGGGTGTTTGAAAAATATCCTTCCCAAGGTCTCTCTTCTTCCTTTTTCCCACCTTCTCACCACCTTTTTCATCAACTTTCCATCAGCCTTTTCAACATTTTCCTCAACCAACCATTCAAGACAAACCCAAAAATGGTTCCCAAATGGTATGTATGTTCAGGACTACATGTATTCCAGTCACTAACCTAATCGATATATAGTATTGTCGTTGGCAGCTTGAACGGTCAGATACGGCCCGTGTTCGACAAGCTAGCCAGACTGCAGCTGAAACAGAATTTCTCCTTTGCGATCATTGTTGGTGACGTCTTCGGTGATTGCGCGACTGAAGATGAGCTCAAGGATATTACCGCCTTGATAAACGGGGAGATCACCGTGGCATGCCCGACCTACTTCACCCTAGGTAACCGACCACTTCCTCCTCAAGTGGTCGAAAAGATTGAAGCAACTGATGAAGTGTGCCCCAACTTGTTCTTCCTTGGCAAGCGAGGAACCTTGAAGACAACAGATGGTATCCGTATTGTTGCTCTCGGTGGAACCATGGGAGAGGCAGAGGGTAGATCCAAGCCCGAGAGTAATGCTAGTGGCAAGTTCCAGCCAACATACAGTGAATCCGATGCACGTGCACTGTTCGGGATTCACAAAACCGACATTCTTATCACCAATCAATGGCCGAAGGATGTCCGTCTAGGATCTAGTCGCGTGGTCTCTGGGAATAAGGAGACTGTTCCGTCTGAATTGCAGTGCATTGCTGATGTTTGCGCGACCCTGAAACCCCGGTACCACTTTTCTCGGTCAGACTGTGCTTTCTTCGAGCGTGAACCTTTCTTTCACTTGCCAGCGGATGGTGGAGAGGTCTACCAACTCACCCGGTTCATCTCATTGCCTACTTTCGGCTCGTCGAAAAATGGTATTTATGCCTTTAACTTGGACCCAACAGCACCTTTCCCAACCAGTATTTCCTTGGGCTCCACCATCTGCCCTTGGTCGGCGGTGCAAAGCAGGCGCAAAATGCTCCCAAGCCAAAGCAAGTCATACCCACCCTACGTCCCCGATGACAGAGATAGAGACCCGGGACACCAACGCCGGCACAAAGAACGCGCTCCCCCGCCAGGCCCGGAGAATTGTTTCTTCTGTCTCTCAAATCCCAACATCGCTACCCATCTTATCACCTCAATCGGCAATGAGAGTTACGTCACCACCGCCAAAGGGCCTTTGCTCACAAAGGACTTTTACCCTTCCCTGGGCTTCCCAGGCCATATGCTCATCATCCCCTTCGAACATTCCCCAACCATCGACCTAATCTTCGACCCGGCCACTCGAGCCTCGACCTTCGCCGAGATGCAACGGTACCGTGAATCCTTGCATCAAATGCTGAACGAGCGGTCAGGAGGCAAGCTAGGTGCTGTCACTTGGGAAGTCAGCCGCTCGAACGGTATCCACACACATTGGCAATTCCTGCCAATGCCAGTGGAGCAGATTCGCTCCCGGCTTGTGGAAATGGCATTCAAGAAGGAAGCCGAGAACCTGGAATATTCGACGTTCAAGACCGTGCCAACCCCCGACGAAATCCACAATCACCATATGATCGACTATTTCCGAGTCTTTATTTGGACACCTACCCCCGGCAATGAAGCCGAAGCTGAAGGCGATCATTGGTCTGCACCTGAGCACAAAGGCGTTTGGAAGACTGAATCTGGAGAGGAGAAGGTTATCATTATGAAGATCCTGCCGGAGACCCGGTTCAATTTGCAATTTGGCCGTCAGGTTATGGGTAAGGTGCTCTACCTGGATGATCGTATTAACTGGAGGGATTGTGTGCAGACGGACGATGAAGAGACGAAGGATGCGGAGGCTTTCAAGGAGGCTTTCAAGAAACACGATTTCGCCATGGAGGGTTAACGGGTGAATTTGAGATCGGCAAGTTCCTTTTCTTCTATGTTCGTTCGTACATGACAAATGTGTGATATGGATGGTGATCAAACTTGCAAGTGATTTTTCGACGGAGAGCGTCTTCGAAATGCTCTCTCCTCCGTGTACAGTATGATGAAATGAGACAGATGAGTTCAGAATTGAAGCCAGAATTCACAAATTACAGAGTCTATATGGAATGCATATAAGAGACATATTAACAAGTCTTCCCAGGGTGTATCGGCTAGAAACGGAAAGCATCAAAAACATGGTGCGGCCACGATCGCGCTCCCTCGAGAATCAACGCCATATTCACAGATCCTAGCGCGAGGCTAGTCAAGTGGCCATACCTTGCCGTTAGTTTAATTTACTACTGTGTAGTAGTAGGTATGTACGCATCCATACAAGCCCAACACATCCCAATCAACGATCTAGAACCCCTCAAAGCTCGGGATATCATCAATTTTATTAAGATGAATCATGCAGTGGGACATTTTATGCTAGGGGGAAAAGCGCATTTCCCCAAAAAGGTTGCCATACATGAGTATTAAACGAGTCGAGCGAAGTTGACCCGAGGAGCGAGAGAGCCCAAATGAGTAAAACGATGAGAAAAAAAGAAATATCATAATTCTAGGCCCAAATTTAGCCCGGGGTCATGATATGTAAGTATGTAATATGAACGAAGACAAATGCAGCTTGAGAATGGTATCAAAAAACGTGAAGAAAAAAAAGGAAACGTTCTGTTCATAAAACCGCCTCGATCGACAAGGGTCATACTCAAAAGTTGCTAGAAGCATTCAAGTTAGGCTTTTTACCGCTCTGCAACAGACTCGGAGGTCTGTTGTTGTCAGGCTCAGGAACTGGGGTGGTATTGGCGTGGGGGTTGTAGGAAGTATACTCTGAAGGCGAGGGGGCTGAGAAAGCAGGAGGGGGCGAAGAAGAAGCACCGGGGGAGAAGGTGCGGTATGGAGGCTGGGATGTGTACGTTGGGGGATACTGGCTAGAGCCAAAAGATGGCTGGCGCTGGAAGCCTTGTGTTGGGGCCGCTGCTGCGGAATGGTCCATCTCCGATGATGGGGAGAAGGACATTGGTACGGGGCTGTAGTTGGTGTGGGGCTTGTATGCAGCCACGGGAGAAGGTGCTGTCACGGCGTGGTAGCCATTGCCTGCATAGGAGTGGTCGTTGTACTGTTGCTGGTCGTAAGGGTTGTGGACTGGTGCGCCGACGGGGGATGTTAGGCCTGGAGAGCGCGGGCCGTAGGGGTCATGGGCTGCGGAGCCATAGCCAGCTGCTTGGACTGGGGTTGGCATGCCGGGAGAGCGCCGCCCGTACGGATCCTGGGAGGCAGCCAGCGCTACTGGTGGGCCAGGGGAACGTCGGGCGTATGGATCCTGGGCAGCACTAAGTGCCGCCCCCGGGCCCGGTGATCTTCTCGAATAAGGATCAATGGCTGCCCCAGGGGAAGGCATCCCCGGCGAACGTCGGCCATAGGGGTCTTGAACAGGATTCAACGCTACTCCAGGGCCGGGAGACCGGCGTGCATGCGGGTCAGTAGGCCCAAATCCTCTATATCCTGCCCCGGCCCCACCCATGGTTGGGTTGGGTGAATAGTCAGAGTAAGCGACACCAGGTGTACCCGCACCCTGTTTTCGGTCCGGGGGGTTCAATGGCTCCATCTCGACGTCGTCGCGATGATTTGGGTCTTCAACATGCTTGTCAACAGCACCAGCCCAGGTAGGCATCTCGGGCAGGGCGTCCTCATTGACATGAGCGGCCGGGGTCTTGGGTGAGTCGAAATGCGCAGTCTGCTGCGCGCCGCGGAACGATGGTGCTCTCTGTTGTGCGCCGCGGTATGAGGGTGGGGCTGGTGACGCTTGATAGACCGGATTTACTGCAGGTGGCGGAGGCTGGTGGAACTGAGGGTCATCAAAGTGCTTAGGGGTTTTGTTTCTGCGCCTGCCCGACGGACAGCAACAGCTACAGCAGCATTTGCAGCATTGATAGCCGCAACAAAGGCAATTGATAACGCAACCTAATACAGCGAGTAGAACCACCGCGCCGACAATGATACCAACGATAACAGGCCACCTTCCAATTAACATGTCAGATCATGCGCAAATACGGAGGGCGTATATCCCACAGGGCAGACTCACTTGCAGTACGATTTGGCCATACATTTGTCCCAGCTGGAAAATGTGCTTGGAACTGACTCGAGATCACTCACAGTGTCTCGGGCCCATAATGTAATATTTGCTGGACTCATCTTGAAAATGAATAGCGAGTGCGCAAGTATAGAAAGGGAATCATCCGATTCTCAATGGCTGCAGAACAGCCTTGGAAAATATCCACCTAGTATGAAACTAGGCGCAGTCCAGTGTGAGTGAACTGTATCCCGAAACGAGTACGATCGTGCCGGGTTCCGAGGTAATGAGAGGGGCGGGGCGCGACTGATAATAGCGATAATAGCGATAGTAACCTTCGATAGCAGCGATAATAGCGATAGTAGATGCGAAGTCGCAGTAAATTCAGGAACAATGAGTGAAGATAAACGGAGTACAGAGAGTACAGGGCAAATAAATCCTTCAAGATGGACTGAACAGGCAGCAAGGTACCAAAATAGAATGTGACGAATGGAGAGTGGAGAGAGAGAGGAAGGCCCTAGAGCAGGATCCAAGGAGGCGCAGTGTTTCAAAACCGAAAGAGCCAAAATGGGCTCGAAAGAACAGCCCTGAAGAATGAGAGAAGAGCGAAATTGCTGAAACGCCAAAAGTTCGTTAGGGACAAGGGTTGACAGAGAGAGGAAACCCCATAGTTCCCGCTCTCCCGCCTATCACATTCACTAGAGACACTCGAAACGACAATCCTCATTAACTGATTCTGTCGATCATTTTAAGAATTTTTACAGTTTGAAATGATTTTGAATTGTTTTTTTTCATTCTCACAAAGGGAAATCAAACATTTGTGAAGTCGTCTCCTCCGATTACCCTTTCCAGTCCCAATTAAAATCTCACAGGAGAAAACACATCCAGAGAGAGATTGCCTGCTATATACAGGCAATTCTCGTTATGTACAGCTGTCAAATCACTCTCGATGCAATATTACATCCTGAAGATCCTCCGCACTACCCCAATGACACGGTTCAAAGGGGAATATTATCGGACAATGCATTGAATACAAATGCTCCTGGCGAAGAATTCAACCAGCAAAACAGGCGTTGAGCATCGAGATGCAAGTTTAGTACAGCGAGGAATGACGATTATTCCACAATAGAAAGTCTGTACAGAGAAGGACCAAATAGTGGATTAAAGGGCGATAGTGGTGTCAAAAGAATGTTCGGAGAGAAAACGAGATGCCAAAGCGTCGGCAGAATGTTCGATGTAAATCGTCGTTTGGGTATTGTTTTCGTGGGGGAAAGACCCACAAGAGGTATGAGAGAAAATGGAAATCTGGCGATGATAGGCCGTCTTCGTGCACATCTTCGGTTTCGAAGTTGCGAGGTCGTAAATAGACATATGAAATGGGACACTCAGATTCGAATGGGTCATGAGAGTCGATTGCCCGGGGAAGATCATGGGCGATGGTCATAGAGAGATGTGGCGAGATGCCAAGTAAAGGAAATATTGAGGAAAGCATGAACCCATTGAGGTAAACAAGGGCCGTCAAGGAGAGGACGATACCAATAGCAGGTATCAAAGAGATAAGGGAAAAGGTGAATACCACACAAATCAGACCTCAGCAGGACTGAGGTGGTTGAGGGAAGTTGAGGGTGAAAAGAAAAGAAAAAAGCCGCCGTAAAGCATCTTGCAATGCATCAGCCAAACACCACGCTCCAAGGACAAGACAAGAAAAAACATAAGATGCAAGAAAATGCAAAACACCGACAATGAAAGGTACTGGCGAGTTGATTTAGTAGGAAAGCATCCGGCGGCCGGGGGTCCGTGCGGGGACTGGGCTTTGAGAGAATGGAGAGCTTAGGTATCGGTTTCGCTCGTTGTCGCCAAGTCGGCAACGTCCAGTTGGGCTGTCCTCCATTCCGGGAGATTGCTCACCAAAGGCAAAAGTCTGGGCGCGGTTCAGCTTGGAGCGCTGCTTGACCTTGCCAAGTCCACGCTCGCAGGCAAATTCATGCTCCTTCGCACTCATTTCGACATAGTTCTGAGGGAAACAGAAAGAGCGGTGTTCAGCAAAGAATGAGCTGTATCCACCATCCAGAATGTACATATCCGGGTATGAGAGGTGAGGGTAAGTGTCAACATTGATGGCGCGATCATGGTGACGGAGGTACTTGGCCATGATGGGAGCCCGGTGCGCAGAGTACTCGCAGTGCAGGATAAGCGCAGTGCGCGCCTGTGGCGCACTGAACAGTTCACCGGCAAGACGTTCCTTATCGTTATAGTTCAATGCGCCAGTGATATGGCCACCTTCATACTCGTATTCAAAGCGGCAGTCAATGATGAGAATGTTGTCGAACTGGTCGTTGAACTTGCCATTCATGAGCTCCAGAAGAGTGCTTTTGTCGATGCGAGGCAGAGAGTCCGCACGATCCTCAGGGATGAAGTGAGGCAGCTTCATGCTGGGCGGACTCGAAATGTCACTAATGGACTGGACGGGTGTATTTGTCGCTACCTTGGCCTCTTTGTCGACAATAACATCTGCTGGGTTCTCAAACATGCTCAATGATCGCCGGCATTGCTTGCGGGGACGCATCAAAGGATGAGATGGTTTGCGGATTGAACTATGGCCGGGGGAGCCGCTGCTACGGGCATGGTGAAGTGACGGCCGCATACGGGGCGGCGCCAGGTGAGTTGAAGAGTTGTTGCGGGAGATAGTACGCTCATGGGGAGGCGAGTCCCCGAACATATCTTCCAGAGAAGTGGACGTGCTAAGAGATGTCTTCGCTCCAGTTCCGAATCGGAACGGCGGTGCTTTGCTCTCTGGTGCAGGTCGAGTCAGTCCAAGTTGGAAAGATTGAGCCTTACTCCTAGCCAGACTGGGGCGCAGGAAAGTGGGCCGCTTCCTCCTGTCAGATAGAAATCCATGTTAGCTGAACTAGTTTCGGTGGCTGGCTGAATATCACGTGCACTTACTCAGGTGGACATAGAGGCGACTCCATTGGAGACGCTTGCAGAGGGCTTGGTAGAGGAGACACCATTGGTGACTCCATAGGACTACCCCCGGGTGTTGGAGACTGTATCTCGATCTCTGTAGTGACATAAAACGCTGGCTTGTGAGGCAGTGGAGACATTTCCATAACATCCATGGCTGGAGCTGGTGACGATGATGGGAGCGGCGGGGTGGTCATCACATCATCTATATAACGTATCAGTAACTACTCCGACATACCATTGTAGGTGGCCATTGCTTACCACGTCCATTGGCTTGACCAAGCATGCTGGCCGTGAACAAAGACCGTCGTGGTGTGGCTAATTTGGGACTGAATATAGAGTTAGCCGGGCTTTGTTCCTTTGAACTTCATGAAACGAACATGAAAACTTTCACATACCTCTGATCAATATGAAAGTTCTGGGAAAGGTCCGCAGCCAAACTGGCTGTGGGGGAAGATCCTCGAATTGGTTTCATGTTGAAGTAATCCGAACTAGACTTCTTCATAGACAATTCCTTGAAATTGAATGGGTTCGCACCAAACCCGGACATTGAACCCAGCGAATAAGAAGTCGGTGCCTCTGAACGAAAGCAATGACCAAACATGACCGATGGAGGCTGCATAGCAGCAAGAGGTGAAGAGTGCTCCATGGCCAGTGACGAATTGCAACTGGACCAGAAAGCCGACGTAGTACAATTTCTAGGAAGGGAAGCAACCGAAATAGACGGTAACAGAGGCAAAATCAGGCCCTGACCACAGATTGCCTACCCAGTCCTAGGTTCCTACAAACTGAGGTTCAAAAAAAAAGTCTCAACGCACGTCTCCACGTTTGCAATTTCAACGTTATGGGTCCCCACGATCGCCGTGACAACCAGTTCCGGAAAAAAAAATCTAGGTCCCAGACCCTAACCACCAACGGCAAGAGAGTTGTATTTTGTAGACACAGGATTTATCGGTCCATGGCAAGCTTCTCGGGGGATTTTGGGGGCGTTGAATATGGTAAATATGTCGGTGATTGGAGGGGTCGGGGGAAGCTCGTGGGTGCTGCAGGACTGAGGGGAAGGTCCAAGAATATGATATGGATGTCGACAAACCCGAATTAACAAAATTGAAACTCACAATGTCGAGGATTGTCAAGAGTAGTTAAGAAGAAAAGAAAAGGAATAAAGCAGTTTGAAGAAAGAAGCCGTGAAGCTGAAGGGATGGGCTTGTTGCAATGGGCAACGCAGGTGGGGAGGATCTCCGAATGTACAAGTATTGAGTAATACTGCGGCTCCGATTTTCATGTAACTAGGAATTTTAATATTAAAAAAAAAAAGGTTTTAAAAGGTTTAGGAATAGAGGATACCTAGGTAAGTTAGAGTAAAAGAGGTAATAGACGTAATATAGTAATATTGTAGTAACAGATGTATGTATGGGAGTTTAAAACAGCTAGTTCCCTATTAAAGAACCTGTATAATCTGTATGGTAAAAATTAAAAAAAGACCAAAAATATATATTTCATGGGGAAAACTAGATCGGTATGCAATATGGTAGTAACCATAGTGAGTAAAAGATAGACAGTCCCCATGCTCTGGCTAGGGGCCAAATACTTTTTTTCCTCGTTGCCCGGGGCTCCCTTGCCGCAGCAACCCAGCGCCTATCAGAACTCATCACTATTTCTTACTATACGCCTGTCTTGGGTCTAGCTTTGTCTCCCCTGCTCTATGGAAGGAGGATTGTCTCTCTCCCGGTACCCTTGAAATATGCGAAATTACCTACCTCTAAATTGTTCCATCTTCCTTGGTTCTTCCAATAGTATCCACCAAAAGAGAGAAAACTTTTTCCCGTGTGTGTCCGTCAGCAAACCACAGGCGAGCTGAAAAAAAACGGAGCCGAAGATCGAGTCTAATGCAAAAATATCCACTTTCCCTGTCTTCGGGAGAAAAAAAAATTTAAAGCTCCTGCAAGTGATAGCAAGTGATGGGATGCAAGGGTGCTTCGATTGAACGGCTTCTTTTTTATTGCTTTAAAACGTCACGATATGCTTCAAACCAATAATATCTTAGACTCTAGAAATCCAAGTGATCTCAGAAATGCCCTTATAGCCCATTATACGTAGTCCTCGATTAAGTCAGCCCGATAAGTGATCACATTCATTTTCCGAGCTTTAGTTGATTGGCCACACTAGAGAGGGATCTCATCTCGTCATTTCCGAAAATAAAAAAAAGAGTTCGCACTATCTGGCCCTATGAGGGGATATCAAGAGTCGATCAGAGATCGGAATCTATGTCGTATGAGGTACAGAGGACAATGCAGTAGATTGTCGATTTGCCATTCAATTGCTTCTAGATTGGAACGTACAACGTAGTATTGAGTAAGGAATGGTAGATAATCCCATTCTTACTCTTCCTAAACTTGAAGAAGTTATAGTGCTCTGCTCATCCATACCCGTGCTGCCCTTACTTGCACCCGCATTCTTGCTGATCAAGGGCTCGCGATGACCTCCAATGTCGCGTATCCCTTCCATACCCCTTGGTCGGGTGTCTGACTACGATATACATTAATTGCCCAAGGGTAGTTCTATTGAAACCTACCTAGCGGACAACTTCACGATTTTTACTATTGACAAAGCAACCACACCTACCGAGGTAAATTGTGATCGCTCTGAAGCTAGGGCTACTATGTTGGACAGAGTACAGTACAGACATCAACAGTATGGACGAGCTGATTAGGGCCAGGATGCACGTGATTGACAACCCCATTGTAAAGGGCATGGATGGTTCGTCAACACCTTAAACAAGTTTAGTCACTAGTTGTACAGATCTCAGTCGGGTCTTATTCGGGCTATCAGGTGCGATATTTCCTCCGTACAGAGTACCCAGCAAGATCTCATCGTCATCAGGCAGATCTTTTGTACAACATACAAACTATGTCATACGAAACTGCTAGTCGTTGGAGTCAGCTATACTAGTGGCCCAGTCATAGTGGACACCCGGCTCAGGATTCACTACTGCACCCCACGGTGTGCTATTCTAGACTCTCTCGTGAAACACCGGAACCTCGAGCTTCATTGGGTCATCCTGGTATATCCGATCAATCCGAGATGCGTCAACCCCCGATCCTTCAAAGTTTACAATTGGCTGCCATCAATGTATAACTATGCGTCTTTCAAGAACCTTGTACCGGAGTACAACATACACATATCTACCCAGTGGCAGATAATGCGGTGTGCAACTCCGACGCGATCGGAGGATTCTATTGACCCGTGATTCTACGTCATATATACTGAACATCAATATATTTGTGCTCCGTGCACTCAAACCTGATGTTCTAATCCTTTTACGTTCGAACTCAGCCTGTTTTGAGGCCTTGGCAGGTGCCTCACATCAACGGTTGTTTTGATGTGTTTTGATGTGATGATCATAACATTGAAACAGCTATTCACGAATCAGACAGCACCTGGCTCTTCTTAGGCGCTTGCAGATGTGAAACTCGCTGACATGCTGACCGTGTCAGCCCGGTCGCCCGATCTAAGCACCTCTCTGCGCCACGGCTGCAGAGACGCAGCTAAGGTGGGGTCGGAGAGGACCCCGATGATGTGACCAGTCAATCGTATCACAACGCCATGTGCGCTGGGACCAGTCATGTTCACTCTCCAGCCGATGTACTTTATCGCTGCGGGGTTCATCACATTTCAACTCGTGTCCTGCCAGATATAGCCTGCATGGTTAGTGTTGTCTAGACCTTTTCCCCTCCTTGGGTTTCCGCCCCTCTTGTCCAATGTGATGTCACGGTCCTGTTGATTGTTGATAGCGCGTGAAGCTTCATGTAAACAAAGCAAACCAGCTTTCACGAAACTAATGCGTTGTCCCGTGATCACATATGACATCAAAGGAAATTTTCCAGATCAGGATTTCTGACCTCCCAACTGGGACTTGATCTGTATTTTGGTATTATACACTATCCAGTACTGGAAATACCCTTACCCTTTATTTCCCCTAGTCTTTCTATATTTGTCAAACTAGTATCCTCCCGGCTCGGAGACCCCGATCATCGCCGCTATTGGCACCCCCCCGGTCATTTATGCGCCAGCGCCTCGTCGGCTTCGTGCCTGTCAGCTCCCCAATCGTGCTATCACCTCTTAGTGACGCCCCTACTCCCTTTTTGGAAGCTGGTGACTGCCCATATCACACGGCTCCTATTATGGTACATGTCTCTGTCAAATGTCCCGCCCAGCGTGACAGATCGCAGGCACACTTAGACGCCACTGGACTGGTATATTCCTCAACCATGTTCTACCAGTCTAGACTTTCTTTTGACGCATAGAATAGGCTCTCTTGGTCAATAAAGTATATTCCTTTTTTTTTAACGCCGTAGCCAGCCCACCTTAAGCTAAACCTGTAGCCACCCCCGTCTTTACTTAAACATGGTGTACACTCCCCAATCCCAGTATTCAGCCAAATTTCACTCCGAACCTCTGTACCCCGTACAACCCCCCAAGTCACACAATGCCGTATGATATGGTGGGTGTTGCATAATCAGGCAACCTACGAAGCCCCTGAAAACACAAAATCTGACACCTGGCTCTACATCTATCACAACGGTTGCCAGGACTCCCAGGCCCACAAACACGCCCGACTCCATACATTATGACTCCGAGACCCGTCCGCCTACATCAAAACCACTTGTGCAATTCCTATGGAATCCATTCCCACATGTTGCCAGCACGACGACTACCCAAAGCTAAAAACTACTTAAACCATGCAGATCCACGGCAGATGATCCCCCATCCGTTCCAACACATCAATTCTGATACAGAGGTAATTTTCTCCCTAATATTTGACTCCAGATATCAGATGGCCTCGCCAAAGCCAAATTGATAGTTCGATGCATGGTTCCTACTCTCCGATCAGCCAAGAACGTCGCTTTGTCTGGTATACTCGTATACAGGTCAGCCCGGGGCGGGTCGGTGCATTCACCAAAAAAAAAAAAAAAAATTAACACAAGCGGAGCCCGGATCCTGAAGCTCGGATCCCGTGCAATTAACGGATGGATTTCCTCGGCGATATGCGATTGTATAAATGGATGCTGGCTTCCCGGTTGCCTTTGACAACAGGGTATTCCTGCGTCGGACTGGTGGTTTGAGGTTGATGGCCCGCGGCTGGAACCTTCGATGATCTCGTTTTTGAGATTCGTCATTACCCCTGAATTAGTAGTCCGGACTACTTTTCGACCCCGGTTTCTCTGACAGCTTCGACTACGCTATATTCTTTCGTCTATTGAAATGTTGGTTGCTCGTTGCCATGCCCGGGCTATTGCGTGGCTTTGAGGTATCTTTGCTGCGGCTTCCAGGGGCTCCATTTGAGGTACGGAGTACTCCGTATACTCCGTACTTGGAGGCAGTCTAGGTCTTGTGGCTTTGGGGGCTAGATTTTTTTAAAATTTTTCTTTTCAGCTAGAATAGTACGCTTGGTGAGGAGAAATTGACTTGGTGGTTTTGAATATTTCTCTAGAATGCTGTGGCAAGATGGAGATTGGTTTGTTTGAAGTCTTGGAAGTCTGGCTGAGA